TTTTTAAGCAACAGCGTGCTTACAGAAAATGCAGTGTTAGAGTATAGTAATTAATTTATAATAACTGTAAAGTTTTATACTTTGGAGGTCAAAGGTTATTAAAAGTAAAAAAAATTATGGTAAAATAAATAGTTTCATCAGTTATTACTAAATTAATGGTGCAATAAACGATTAAAAATTACTAATTTAATTATCAGAATGATCAATGAATATTTTGATTCCATAACAAATTTATGGTCAGTTTTATTTAATACATTCATTCTGCAGTATTTAATGGCTTCGCACCCACTCAAAGTAGAAGCAGGCTGGCACACTTGCATAATACGTATACACACACACGCACACACACGTATACACACGTACACACATCTAAAATTAACTCAAAAATGCAAGATATTTATTTAATTTTAAGGTTCGGAGTCTAAAAAAATAATTCTCAACGACTGAAGTAATGAGCAAAATGAAAATCTTACACAAATTCCTGAAAGCAATATTAGCTCAGTACTATTAGACGAAAAGGTTAAGCAAAGGGAAGTGCAGAATTAAAAGCACGCAATAATTGAAGTTAGAGTGTGAAACAAAGACAAATATTATTAGAGAAAAAATTAAATTCATATTTTAATTATTAGTAAAAATTAATTGAATTGCATTACTGAGAAAGTTAAGATGTTGAATTGAACTAATTTTAGATGTAAGTAATATTCAAAATGATAACAACAAGACAATAATAGTTAACTCCAATATTAATGTTAGTAATAATAATAATAGTAAGAAAAAGGAGCGTGTTGGATAGTGAGATAAAAATAATCACTATAACGAGCAGTAATTAATATATTATAAGTAACTATTGATAAATTTAAATGAGATAACAATGATAAAAATATTTTAAAAAGCGACATTACTTGACTTATAAACTTAAAGTGATTAGTAATCGTAATATGCGCAGTAATTCATATTTAACGTAAGCTGGCGTAGAATGGAAGTCATAAATAAAGTCAAAATGATATGAAAACTTCTTTCTCTCTCTCAAAGTGAAGCCAAAATACTTTTCGAAAATAGCGATTCCCCTCAAAATCACATTTGTGTGATGAAAAAGTACTCAGAATTCTGCGCAGACACAAATTAAATTTTGAATTTCTTTTCTAATACAGAATTTTTTACAATTTATGACTGTTTTATTAGCATAAATCAGTTTAAGAATTTAGACTAAACTGAATAGTCTGCTGCTTACATTTGCATTGTAATAAAATTTTTATGAGAAAAGACTGCAACGAAAATTGTAAAGTAAATTATTTCTTTGACTTAATGTAAAAAATAAATATTAATCAATTTTTGACATTAATTAAAAATTACAAAAGTTTAAATGAACTGATTAGTAGTAAGTATGGATGCTTGTAATATTTTGATGACTAAATCAATCATAAATTAACTTTTTATGTCCACTCTCTGAATGCATTAATACAAATAAACTATATCCCATTATTCAAATAAAAAATACTTCCAAATTTATTATTATCTTTTTTGTATCAAACGGTGAGCCTAATTATTCTACACGTGTCCTGAAATTATCACATTGTATTTGAGCGTAAAAAAATAAATCTTAACTTTTTATATCTTTTAGAAGAAGTTTTTCTCAAAAACATCATTGTTCTTTATTTATCGTCTTAGCATTTTTCTAAAAATACTTATTACTAATCAAATTTTTCAAACACTCGCTTTGTTTTCATCATAAAGTGAAATTCTTATGCAAAATAAATTATATTTTATATTTAAAATAACAACAATGTTTGTAAGTCATATAGTTAGTAAGTTTATCGATAACAACGTTGTAAACACTGCTATTGATAATAATAATAATAATAATAATAATAATAAACAGTAGTATTAATGATAATAATGATCATAATAACAATAATAAATGTAAACAATTAAAATACGTATGAAAAATCAGTTTATATAATGAGAAACAATAATTTGGGCAGATGCAAAGCGAAACGTAAGCTGAAAAATTAGAAAAACATATTGATAATATTAAGTTTTATATCAGTGAATGATAAGTAATAGATTACAGTAATGGGATATATTTGTTTATAAATGGTGAATGAAGAAATTTATGGAAACAAGCACTCGTGAATAAATTTATTTCATTGAGGATATACTTTTAGCTCCTCAATGTTTTGTCTGAAACAGAAAATTAAAAAACGTGAAATTGACTAAAAGGATTTAGGCGATAGAATAATTAAGTTCAGGTTGAAATTATGAGAGATTTTTGATAAACTGCAAACTGAACTTTTTATAAAAACTATTTTTTTAATTAATTTTTCCCGTCTATATTAAAAGTTTATTTCCTTTATTAATGCTATTATTGGCATTATTACTCAGTTTATAAAAAGAAAATGCTCTGGAAAGGAAAGTGAAGCGTAGCGTTGATAACCAAAGGATAAGTTTGTGAAGAAAATAGTCAATTAACTGCTTTATAAAATTTGCATTCAAATTTCATTTTCGTGTCGGAAAATTTTTCGCACTTTTTAGGTTCTTTTTTGTATTTAAATGACATTTTCCATTTATGTATAATATATTTTATGCAATATAAAAATTGAGCATGAAAAGAGTACGAAAGTAAGAATTGATTTCAGACCAAGTCTCAGAGACAAAGTAAGACTGATTTGACTTGAGTCTATATCACATAAGACAGCATCTTTTTGTGCAAGTGACAAATAATAATACATTTTGTCATTTTCACTTTGTCATTTTGTCATTATCCAAGTCAAGGTAGGAAAACTGTCTTACTTTACTGAAGAAGTGGCTAAGAATAGTACCAAATAAGTAAAGAAGTGGTCACTCTAAATCAAGTCTTCTTGCTTGAACTTTTTGCAGCTTTGTAAGTTATCTAACAGAGTGCATAAATCTTAGACTATTCATAACATGAATAATAAGTATAATTCAAAAAGATGTGAGCGAAATTTTGGAAACACAAGCAAATTCTTGTACTGATCAGTGCTTTTTTTAACATACTGCTAGATTAATTTGCAGTTATAATTTGATAAAAATGCAAAAAGTTATGGCAGAAATTAACGGTAACATTTATGGAACAAATATTATTAGTATTTATAACAAGCATAAAATTGATAAAAATGTTCAGAATAATCAATAATTGTAACGCTTCAAATAGCAATGATGATGCAAAAGTAATCATATATTTTACTACATAGTACTTAATTAAAATTTGAAAATATGCGCAACAAATTTTGAAAAATTTTGTTGTTGAAGATTTGCATAAATCGAATACTAAATTGAAATAAACTCACAATGATTGTAGCTAACCTAAAACTTTTATTAATAATTGCTTTGTAAGACAAGAAATTAATAAAATAAGTAAAAAAAATTGTAATCAAAATCACAATTAGAGTGAAATGGCTTTGATGGTGTAAGTCAAGTACGTTAATTATTTATATAAATTAAAAATTGAAATAATGAAAAGCAATAAAGTCTAGCAAATATTAAAATTGAAAATATTTGAAAAGGCAGTGTAATAATAATATTTCATTTTCTATCCTATTTTTTGCTGTAAAACTCTGACGCAATTTAAGGCAGCAAGCAGAAATGAAAAATGAAATGGTATTTTTTAAAACATCATAGATTATAGCAAAAATTTTTTAAAAAAAGACGAAAAATTTAAATATCCAATTTAAATTTGTTGAAATTATCTTTTTTTTTTGCACATTAAAATTTAAATTTATTACAATACTTGAAGAGATAGTAAAATAATTTAAAATATATATTTGAAATGCTAATTGAATTTCAATCAACATTATGCTCATTGAAAATTACTTCAACGATAAATTCTTCTCTTCTTTTATTACACAAAATAAAAACTATTAGTAGCAGTGATAACATCTTAATATCATCATCAACGCTCATTCACTTCAGTAGACGAATATTATCACATATTTATTTTATTGCTTAAAAATAAGTCAAGTGAAAATTATTACATTCTATAAATATCTGCTAATTCAGTCATGCAAATTTATGCATATTTAAAAATGGAATACCCTAAAAATATTACTTACTTAAATGATTTTGAAACTTTTGCAGACTCTTAGCGTTTTGAATAAATTTTGCTATCTTTAATCAGTCTGTATGCATTTTAAATTTCGAAAGTTTTCTCAGATATGAAAATAAAAACTATAGTATAATTTCAAAAATTTGAAAATTGTAACAATTTTTTGCTAAATATGCTTAATTTTTTATGTTTGTAAGGCATTTGCATCTTTTCTGATATTGATCACAAATATTTTAAATAAAATTCACAATTTATATAATAACTTTCCCTAACAAAATGTATGCAAATAAAAAGTATAAAAAATTCAAATATTAGATACAATGCAAATTTAATTGGTATATTTTAATATTACTCCTTTATATTTAGAAAATACACTTCAATTTTTTTTTTTTTGAAAATTACTGTAAAGTACTACAAGACTTTTAAAATTTGAATTTTGTTGATTTTATACTGTAATGCGTCTATTCAGATTCTACGTCTATTCATTTATATTCATGCGCGTAAGTTTTTACGTAGATTTTTTAGCTCTCGAAATTTCATTTCTTCAAAAAAACTTCAAAACTTTACAAAAACTAATTTACAGCATTTCGTTTGCTAAGGCAAAATGTTTTGACTGTTGCAAAGCTCAAAAAATATTCTGCATAAAATCGTGATTGTCACTTAATGAAAATTTTACGTTTCAAAGTTCTTTCAGTAATGTTGCATACGATTTGCATTTTCTTCTCTAAAACAGCGATTAGAAGCAAAATTTGAAAATTATATTAATATAGTCGGTAAAAAGTGTTATTTTCACGTTGGTTGGCATTTTGAGTTAAATGTTGGAGATACTATAACTTGAAGTAGCTGCTAGAGTCAGCCTATGTGATAGATTACTATTACTTCCTCAGGATATCCAGAGTTCTGCAAAAGTGAAGTATTTACTAGGTCTGTAGAAAATATGGCTTCTGGCTCGTTACCCTTCTCAATTCCTGAAAGGTTCGCTTTAAAATTAGTGATTCATATGGAGTAAAAATCTCTCTTGTATAATTATACTTGCTTTTTGTGATATCATTTTGGTGTGGAGATAAAAGCTGAATAAATCCCTCTTGCATTACATCAGTTACAATTACGTGCTTGGGATTAAAGGCTTTCTTCACTTGAACTTTTATGTTTGTTCTTTATTTTAGCCTATCATAATCGCATAAAAGTAATCCAGTATTTGTCAAACTATTTTAGTTTACGTCAGAAGAAAACAACTAGTCCTGCTTTGAAATCAGCGAACACTACTCGGAAACAACAACCTTATTCTTTCACGAGACGTAGTGAATATACTGATTTAGATGATCCACTAGGTTAGCTATTTATACGCCATAAATCATTTATGTATTGGATGTATAATATTATTTCATCTTGTAGCTCAATGCAAATTGAGTTTTCAAGTCATGAATAAAAACTTTTAAAAATATGTGATTATTATATCAATTGAAACCTTTTGACTTTTCATTTCAAGGTATGGAGAATTTTGCTGAGTTCAGTTAGATCTTTTTTAAAGACTTAAGCTCAAATATATACTCTACACTTCTTTCTCTGCCCTAAAATATTGACAATGTTTGTTGCATATTATCTATCGAAATTCAGGCTCTTCCTTACGTACAGTTCCTTATAAACGAGCAATCGATTCAAGAATCAGCAGTACCCGATATTCTCTTACTCGTGGTGCACGTATTCGTAAAAATGTTTCGTCGACGCAGCATGCTGCGAATATTCCACACAGTTCGGCTGATGTAATTATGTCATTTGGTGGTACAAAAGTTGGGAAACGTTTGACAGCTATACCACTTCGTGGTCATATGCGCAATGTTCTTGACAATAAACTGAGTGGTGCTTTACATCCAGTAAGATTGAATTTTTCTTCCCAGTCAGTGTTAAAAATGTGAACTTATGGTTGTTATTTTCAAATAAAACTATCCTTAGCCTGAAACGACAAGATCTCGGACACGTGAATTGGTTAGTGAGGAAATTGGTTCGAAGCTGGAACGTAGTTCAGAATGTTCGAAAGTTGAATCAATTGTTGAAAAGGCAATATTACCTAAAAGTGCAGTAGGTAAGATTTATTAAGTATGGAAAGCATACACTTTTTAATATACCTTAGATTTTATATTCTTAGTTTGTTGCAGTTTCTTTAGTAGATTATAATTATTTTGCATTTTCAAGTCACTAAATTATATCGTAAGATCACTCTTTCAGTTCGCCAATTGAAGCGTCTTGTTGGACGAATTTGTGAAAGTGATTATGATAAATATCAATTGCTAGATGAAAGAGATCGGTTAATGCAAAGGGGGCGTTTAAAAAGTAACGATGTTGAAAATGCAAGTGTGGTACAGGTAAATCAATATTTCAAGAAATTATTAGTTTAAAAAAATTTATAGAAAAGACTAATGGAGATTTAGTTTAATATTTTTTGTCCGACTCTCGAGGAGGCATTTATGAATCAAATAAAATGTATATGTTAAAGAAAATAAGCGAAACAAATTATTTTTTAAACATTGTAGAAGTACTATTCCTTATTTCACTTTGTTGCGTTTTGTTCATATTTAAATTGAGTTGGAGCTATTTGTTAAAAACAATGGCTAGAAAGTTGAGAAATTTTAGGGCTCTTGTTCAGATATGTGCCCAGAAAAGGAACGCTATCTAAGAATTGTTCAGAAGCGTCTTACTGTATATGAATGTCGTGATGATGGCCAAATAGCTCCAGAACTTACCGTAAAAGAGTATAGCAGAAGTGCTGCAGATCAAGTGCGTGAATGACATTTTGTTCGCTTTCATAAACTCTTATTGTACAATGTATTTTGTCTAGGACTTTTCTAAATTTTTTCGTTAATAAGGAAGGCCTGTCTTATGACTTTAAAAGTTTCAATAGTTTTTTTCATCATTCAGTTGTTTCGTTCATAAATAGTTAAATAATTATTGGTTATTGAAGGACGAACCACTGCCACATGAGCTGAGACCGGCAGATATTCTTAATCGGACTATGAACTACCTTATTGGAAAAGTAAGCTATTTCTATTTTATACTGACTAAGAAATGTAAATTTTTAAAAATTTTATTTAGATTGCCAACTACGTCCCGGAAACGGATGAAGAGTTAGCTCAGTGGTATGATTTCCTATGGAATCGAACAAGAGCTATTAGAAAGGTTTTTACTTTTAGTCAGTTTCAAATTTCTACCATTATGGATTTGCAATTTTTCGTTAGTTTATTTTGTCAAGAATTTTTAAACGGAGCAGGGATTTTAAAAAGTGTTACGGTTAGAAAAAGATTTTTTGGAAAATTCGGGTTTTAGGATATAACACAACAAATGATGGTTAACGAAACTGCAGTTAATCTGATTGAGCAATGCGTAAGACTACATATATTTGCGTCTCATCGTCTTTGTGAATTAAATTTCAACGATTTTGATCAGAAAATGAATACTGGTACTTTTTGTATTACCTTTTTCATGAATTGCTGTTAGCAGTGCGTGCTTGTGCTGTGTCAATCTTTTTTGTCTCTCTGTGTTGTTTGCTCCTTTCTCTGGTTCAAAATCTGATTGATTTGTGTAGTTGAATAATTTGGGTTCATTATAATTTTCATTTTCATTTTTAGAAAATTTGTCGAAAAGTTTGCAAAGCTTGCGTTATTTGTATGATGATTTGGCAAAAAAGGGTATCTTTTATGCTAGTGAAGCGGAATTTCGTGCTTACGAAATTATGCTCAATCTCTCAGACTCCAATGTTTTTCGGTAATTCCAGTTTCGAAAAAGATATACCTGAATAATTAGTCTTTTTATGGTTTCCCTAAATGAGTAGGGTATCAGATGGTGTTTTCTTTAATTTTAATTAGTGCAAAATTTCTCTCAAAAAAGTGAAAGTGCTCATGACCTAATGGCACTTAATTTCGATTGTTTTCTATCTTTTTCTGTTGTATTACTTTTATTTATAACTTTATTCAGTTTGCAGACAAGCACTGACATATCGTCGAGAAATTCTTGAGTCGAGTCCAGTTCGATTAGCTATCCGTCTCTTTACTTGTTTGCAAAATCATAATTATGTCCGCTTCTTTCAGCTTTTGAAAACTGATGCCACCTATCTGCAAGTATGAACTTTGACTGATGGTAGTTCATTCAAGTAATTAGTTGGTAATGATAATCTGACTCTAAAAATTTCTATTGTAGTGTTGTCTATGCCATCGATATTTCAATCGCATGCGCCACCAAGCAGTATATGCCATATCACATTCAGTTCATATAACAGG